GACGCTCTTCTATACCAGTACCAATGATAAGTAAGTAAACGGGTTCCATCGGAACGACAGCAGGGTAAGAAGCGAATTCTAATAAAGTGCCCGATGCGTCCGCTGCCTTACAGATTTAGAACACATTGTTTCTCACGAGGGGTTGACATCTCGGCGTTTTTGTGTAGACGGAAGTCGTCGGAGTACCAAGTACAGGTTGAGCACGCGGGGTACAATTGGCGAACATCGGGGTAAAGCAGGGGTACATCGAGAACACATACCCCCCCTTCCACTGGACAAGCCGCGTCTACTTCAAGGCCGTTTTTGACGTAGGCAGAACAAAAACTGGTCTGCCTGTTGGCTGCTCAGTGCACGGGAGCGTACTCCCCGCCCTCACGCCTCGTTTTTGTGCACGCGTACCGCAACGAGTGGCGTCCAAGGCTAGGATGACCGGTCGCCGTAGTCCGGACGCGGCTGACCTCTGCGACATGGCCAGATTCGCTCTTGTCGCCTAGAGAGGTTCAAAGTAGCTCGATTCGGAGCTGCTTGTTTTAGAAGATGAGGGGCGTTCACTCGCTCGCATTGTGATCGCCCGTTTTTTATACCAACTACTGCAGTCTCTGATCCTGATCGCGTGAGAGTGCGTGTCGTGTTTATTTAATCCCATTACCGCCTACGAATAGAACTCTAATTTCATCCAGGCGTCCTCCTTCGTGGCCTACTGCCTTCTGCCCTTTGGTTTCGCCACTCCACGGTGGTCAGTCCGCCGGCGGCTCTGCTGTAATGAAGCTGCTCTGTGGTCCCGCCCTCCGCCCTGCCGTCACCCGTGGGCCACATGCAGGCCATCTGCCACCTGTGTCGGCCGATCGCTGCGGGCTGTGGGACCCAGCAGGTGTACCGACGCGGGTCACTGCGAGGCGGGCGGGAGGGGGGGGGGAGGCTTTCGCACGAAATGTTGTACCGGTACCAGACTGCTAATGTCGTCCAAGGAAAACGTCTAGTTTGTAACAAACAGAAAATGCTGATTGATGTGGGCTTGTCAATATTTGCATTCACCAAAAACGCCTCACATCCTGACACCCTGAGCGCCTCTAAGTGTTCGAGTAAGTTCGTCATCGAAATGATTTGCCCTTGTCCTCCCGGAAGCATAGGAGGGTCGTCTCTTTTAGAACTACACGATGCACGGGGATGGCGACTGCCGTTCGACCCTCGAGAATACAGCAGCGCACTATCACTCCATTCGGTGGTCGGCCAAGGGCTCCTGAACTGGATGCATGCACGTAGTAGGTGGCTGAATCCTGAGAACCACCCCCAGCCCCAGCAAGCCGCGTCTTCAAGGCCACAGAGTAGCACCGACCCGTGACCTACTGGGCGAGGCGTCGGCTATGACTTACGACGGTCAAATGAAAAAAAAAAACGAAACAACAAGAACGCAAGGCTGTATCAGAGATCGACGGCACATCTAGCGATTAGTTCGGCGTTCTAGAGAGGAATCAGAGATAGAGAGAGAGAGAGAGAGGGAGAGAGAGACGTCAGTGAACCAATGACGTAATGCTGCCCAATAGACGCCCGCTGTTTACACGGGACGGACAAATCATGTGGCGTGACGGGAAAGAGAGCGGCGGAGACCTGTCGACAATGGGTGTTTAGTTGTTACTTTCGGCTCCTCGCTTGGCCCACAATCACCGCCAAGTCGATCTTCTGGTCAGGGCTGTAAACTGCCCCCCTCCTCTTTCCCCGTCTCTTGGTGTGTCAGGGGCCACGATGAGCTTCGTCGTGGAGCCTGGCGAGTGCGATAGTTAACTATACGACCCGCGAAAAGTGAGGAGGACGCACTCTATAGAATGCCAAGGACCGGTGACTGCGCCATGAAGAGGCCAAGCGGCCAATTTGCATTTCTTCTCACTTGTATTTCTTTGGACAAAGGCCGCCTTTGTACGGACGACCAAGCCCAGACTGTATGATAGCGAAAACTACCGGATGATGGCTCACAATTATTGCGTCCTTTGGATGGTTGGTTTGCTGATGTTTGTACCCCCTAAGAAAAGTCTAGAGTGCATTGCTTTGTACTTCAAGGGCAATGGAAGCGTTGTAACACAAAAGAAAATATTCCTTTGTAATTAATTAATTAAATCATCCTCTCGTAATCACAAGGCATTATGCCTCGTAGTTACACAGCACTGCTTCGAAATAATTACAAAGCAATTGCTTTGCAGGCTACGATTCTTCCGTTTTCTTTGTGGGTTACGAAGCAATGCCCTATAAACTTTTTGACGGTGCTACAAGTGCGCGGTCACTGCACTGTAATGGCACTGCGGCTCCCCGCGAACACGTTGGGCTGCCTACCTGTAAGTGCCTGCCCCGAGCCTGCCCCCCCACGTCACTCGGGGGCGCCGAGCAGGCAAAGAGGAGGCGCCGTGGTGGTGGGCAGCCCATCCTACCCACGGAGCCTGCATCTTCACGCGCCGCAAGACTCCACTAGTGCACACTGGCAAAAAAACAAAGGTGTATTTTAGTGCTTTTGCAAACGCAACCAGGTCTTCGGAAAAGTAATACAATATCCGCTTTCTTGATTGCTTTTTTAGGCATACAACACAGCGTACATAAGGTGCTCTAATAATCACTTATACCGGGTGTTGCACAGGTGACACAGGTGCGGGCGGGTTTGCCTACCCGCTCTGCCCGTTAGGCGCCATAGCCCCTCGGGTAGGCAAACCCGCCCGCACCTGTGTCTTTTATGCAACACCCGGTACACTCATCTCAGGCACATATAGTGTCTCTCTTAATATACACCTAGAACCTATGCCTGTGTTTGTAATTTAGCCAGCCCGAGGGACAAAATGCTTCGGTTCCGAGGGCACTTTTTGTTTGAAGCTGTTGTGCGGAAGCGGGGCGCCTGCGAAACGCGGGGTAGGCACCCCCGCCGTGCACG